CACACACACACACACACACACACACACACACGCACATACACACTCGAGTAAAAGCAGCATGACCAATGTGAAAGATAATTGGACAAATCATTCTAGATTTGTCGATGCCTATCCATTTTCGCTTTTCAGTTATGAATATGTCTAAGATATGGATAGTCTCTTGACCTGGCGTTGACATGAGAATTTTAGAAGAATGAGATCAAGCTCTGTCCGTCTTCACTCGAAACAAGAGAGGATGTCTCATGGATTGCATCACTCTGAACGTTGGATTAAAACTAAATGGCTCCAGTACAGCCAGAATCAGCCGTCATTTTCTGGTGAGATCTACCTTCGAATCTCTTCTTCATTTACTTTCATACGAAATGATTCATCGAAACCCAATTATCTTTCGTATCTGCAAACATTGTGTCCGACCAGAAAGCCTCATTCGACAAGAGTTTCATTCGCCCAGTTGGGAAAACAGTTGGGAAACCTGTTCAAGGTAGACTTTTTTGTGTGTGTGCGTGTGTGTGTTTGTCTGTATTTTTCAACATGCGCCAAGCCCCTCGGATCCCGTTTGACGTGCTCAAGCACCGAATTGTGTTTCCCTCTGTCTTCGTGATATGAGACCGGATACCGGTTGAGATGGGCAAGATCAATGCGTGTATGCGATCGGTGTGTTGTACCGAATGTAGACGTGCATGTCTGTCAAACATTTCTCCTTTTTGCATCTCTCGGAGCGGGACAGAGTGAAACTCGTCTTTGGTCGGTTTGCCATGAGCCACACTCCAGATTTAACCGTTCAGCCAGTCTGTCCGGTGGGAAGAGTTACCATTATTTTTGCTGGGATGTAAGTTGAAACAGCTGACAAATCATACAACCGACGATAGAGACCGATTGCTAAACGAATCTGAGCCGGCCGGTTTGGTGCCGATTTTCTTGCTCTATTTCGTCGGGCATACGCCACATGAACGCCGAACGAGAAATGCTTCTTCTCACAGTTTCGCTGGCCTATGCATCCTTCACGCTACAGAACCAGGTGTCACACATCTTGGCCACGAGACCGGGCGATTGCAGCGTCGCGCTTGTTGCCGGCTTGAGGCGAGGTGTAGAATTACCATGCCATCCGAAATGAGGTGACAGTCATACTGTCGCTAGTCTAAGGCTAGAGCCATGACAACCTAAAGGTCTGTTTTGCTCACCAAACGAGAGTGACCACAGGAGAGAGGAGGTAAAAAGAGACAGACTATTGTTTAAAAATGAAATGGTAAATAAATATAAACTAATTGGAATATTCTCGAGTGCCATAAAGCCGAATTCTGAGACTTATTTGACTGCCAGTAAACAGATGCTGCATCTCAGCCGAATCATTTTAATGTGGAAAGGAAGTACCGATTTTGACTGCTGAGTATAGGCATGGCCTTAATAATGGAAGATGATTGCATGTGATTCACAGGACCCCATACAAATGCGAGCATTCGGCACATCAGAGACAGAGGAAGCACCTTCTAAAGCTTCCCCATGATAATACCGGCTAGTGAGGAGACGAGGACGAATGTCGTCTTGAGGAAGATGGGACATCCCGAGAGTTGTAGAGGGTGTGTCTTTTGGGGGAATACAGTGGGCGCTTAGCGTTTGGGTGGTACGTAGATGAGCTGTGCAAAGACCAGCGCCCCTTGGGGGATCCAGTCGGTTTGTTGTTCTTTGTGAGTCAGAGAATTGGACTTGTGATCGGCCGCAGTGGATATCAGTACGAGTTGAATGAGGCTGTAACATAAATCAAGCCAAACTCATTTACTAAATTGCGATGCTTTGGCGGAGATCATGTGCACTCAAAAGAGCTTTGTCTCGAA